CAAGACCAGAGCTAAACCTGCCATTGCTCCCCTGATAGTATAATGGGGGGAATGAGACAAAAATGCTCTCTAAATTGACTAGAAACCATAACATACCTCGACATCTCCTGTTAGTACTGTTAAACTTAGCCCTCTGCCTCAACCTGCCCCCTTCTCCCAGATTGAGTCAGTTACTGCCCTATCCCTAGCTTGGCTCCCAGCCTTTCTGGAGTCCTTTTATCCTATAGCTGTTAGATTTTTTTTTTTTTTTTTTTTGACAGGCAGAGTGGATAGTGAGAGAGAGAGAGACAGAGACAGAGAGAAAGGTCTTCCTTTGTCGTTGGTTCACCCTCCAATGGCCGTGGCCGGCGCACCCCGCTGATCCGATGGCAGGAGCCAGGTGCTTCTCCTGGTCTCCCATGGGGTGCAGGGCCCAAGCACTTGGGCCATCCTCCACTGCACTCCCTGGCCACAGCAGAGAGCTGGCCTGGAAGAGGGGCAACTGGGACAGAATCCGGTGCCCTGACCGGACTAGAACCTGGTGTGCCGGCGCCACAGGCAGAGGATGAGCCTAGTGAGCCGCGGTGCTGGCGAGCTGTTAGATCTTTTCAGACAGCACTGGTACATGCTTGCCAGTTCAGTGGTCATCAAAATGATTTCCAACTCACAGAGAAACAAGCATAAATGCTGCAATATGTACCCCTATCCCCTAAGTTTCATGGGAACGGGCTGGTTAGAAAGTATGAAAATTGAGATGTCAGGAAATAGAGTACAAATAGTTGAAATACAAAAAAGAGTTTACAAAGGATGGCTATGATTGTATGTTAACGTGGTCTTAATTATATTACGCATAAGATAAGTTCTATGGTCAATCTCATTAGAATTGCATTTTTGGGGGGCTGGTACTATAGCGCAGCAGGTTAAAGCCCAGGTCTGCATCGTCAGCAAAAAAAAATTGCATTTTTACAAACTTTATTGAAGGGTAACACATATACAGAAAAGTAAGATTTACATTTTTAAGGTAATTAAATAGTGTCACACGGCCATGAGTGCTTTATTAGTTTCTGTTGTGACCCAAAACGCAGCTAGAATAGTTAACTCATGTGATGGAAAAAATCTCAGGTTTTTTTTTTTTTTTTTTTTTTTTTTTTGACAGGCAGAATTAGACAGTGAGAGAGACAGAGAGAAAGGTCTTCCTTCCGTTGGTTCACCCCTCAAATGGCTGCTGCAGCCTGCGTGCTGCACTGATCCGAAGCCAGGAGCCAGGTGCCTCCCCCTGGTCTCCCATGCAGGTGCAGGGCCCAAGGACCTGGGCCATCCTCCACTGCACTCCCAGGCCACAGCAGAGAGCTGGACTGGAAGAGGAGCAACTGGGACAGAATCTGGCCCCCTGACTGGGACTAGAACCCGGGGTGCTGGCACCACAGGCTGAGGATTAGCCAAGTGAGCCGCGGCGCTGGCCCCCAGGTTTTTTTTTTTTAAGATTTATTTATTGGGGTCAGTGCTGTGACATAGTGGGTAAATCTGCCACCTGCAGGGACAGCATCCCATATGGGTGCTGGTTAGCATCCCTTCTGCTTCACTTTTGATCCAGATCTCTGCTGTGGCCTGGAAAAGCAGTAGAAGATGGCCCAAGACTTGGGCCCCTGCACCCACTTGGGAGACCGGAAGAAGCTCCTGGCTCCTGGTTTCAGATCAGTGCAGCTCTGGCCATTACGGCCAACTGAGAATGAACCAGCAGATGGAAGACCTCTCTCTCTCTCTCTCTCTCTCTCTCTCTCTCTCTCTCTCTCTCTTCCTCCCCTTCTCTCTCTGCATAACTCTGCCTTTATTTGAATGGCAGAGTTACAGAGAGACAGAGGCAGTGAGAGAGAGAGTCTTCCATTCGCTGGTTCATTCTCCAGAAGGCCGAAGCCAGGAGCAAGGAGCCAGGAGCTTCTTTCAAGTCTCCCATCTGGGTGTGGGGCGCAAGGACTTGGGCCATCTTCTACTGCTTTCCCAGGCCATAGCAGAGGGCTGGATCAGAAGTGGAGCAGCTGGGACTTGAACAAGTGCCCATATGGGATGCTGGCACTGCAGGTGGCAGCTTTACCTGCTAAGACACAGCGCTGGCCCAAACCCAGTTTTAAAGTTATATTAAGTTCAGTGTGGTGTGTTGTATCAGACCTAGTTCTGAGTAATGACTAGGACAGTGGCCCATGTGTTTTATATAACTGCTGAGCAACTTGACAAGTTAAAGATGAAGTTCAAATGCGACCTTCAAGCCTATGTTTCTATTCACTTTATATATGCGTATATGCAGCTGATGCTGCTCTCAAAAACCATGTGAACTACAAAGAATAAGAAAAATTTGCAGCAGAGTTGGCATGGATTCAATTTCTGAGCCAGAGATTAAAATATGTTTATAGACACTATTATTGGCAACTCTGTTATCAGTCATTTCCTTCGGGAATTATTGTGAGAGGACTTCAAAAAGCTCACAGAAAATGGAATTAAAAATAAGTTTATTACTGGGCTGGCACTGCGGCTCAGTAGGCTAATTCTCCGCCTGCGGCACTGGCACCCAGGGTTCTAGTCCCAGTCGGGGCGCCGGATTCTGTCCCGGTTGCCCCTCTTCCAGGCCAGCTCTCTGCTGTGGCCAGGGAGTGCAGTGGAGGATGGCCCAAGTCCTTGGGCCCTGCACCCCATGGGAGACCAGGAGAAGAACCTGGCTCCTGCCTTTGGATCAGTGCGGTGCGCCTGCCGGCCGCAGCGTGCCAGCTGCGGCGGCCATTGGAGGGTGAACCAATGGCAAAGGAAGACCTTTCTCTCTGTCTCTCTCTCACACTGTCTAACTCTGCCTGTCAAAAAAAAAGTTTATTATAGTACAAAAATTTTTGAAATCCAGGCATGGCTTCTTCATAATACACATTTCCACAAATTTTTAAAAGGATCCTCATATATTAATGGAACATAATTTTATGCCCTGACTATTCATTAAATAGTTTTGGGTCCATGGACTTAAAATACCATAGAACTATAAATATTAATATATGAAAATTATTATGAAACATTTTATGATATTTTCCCAGATGAGAATTATTTAATAAACTGTTTCCTAATCACTAACTTAGTGTGGCCTAGTAAAGGGTTAAAAAAGGCTGGAAGTTAGTCATTGTTTTCTCTAAATTAAAAATGATATGAATTCAAAAAATTACTTATCATGTACATCATATAAGATGCTATACTCTGTGGAGAATGCAAACATCAATTATGAAGAATCTCTGCCCTTAGGGAGTTGATGAATTTTCTGGTAAGATGATGAGGCATGCATACAGATCATATAAAACAAAGACAGTAAACACACTACAAGTGGGTAGGAATAAAGTACTTTTGGAATTTGGAAGAACCTGAGGTCAGGTCCATACGGGAGCTCAGAGATGATGTCATAGTGAAGACGGAAAGTGAGTGGAGTCTGAAAGAATGGGTAAGATTTCTGCAACTACAGATGCGGTTAAAATTACTCCCAGGAGGCAGAGACGGGCACTAACAGAGGTAGTATAGGTCAAAGCTCATTTAGAGACTGCAGGCTTTCCGTGTCCATAGGGAAATACAGTTGAAAATAGGTAAACTAGGGGCCGGCATCGTGGCGTAGCAGGTTAAGCTGGTGCCTGTGATGTCAGCTTCCCATATGGGTGCAGGGTTCAAGTCCAGGTTGCTCGGCTTCCTATCCGGATCGTTGCTAATGCAGAGGAATAATGCAGAAGATAACCCAAATGCTTGGGCCCCTTGCACCCAAATGGGAAACGGGGATGGAGCTCCTGGCTCTGGCTTTGGCCCTGGGGCCCAGCTCTGGCAGTTGCAGCCATTTGGGGAGTGAATCAGTGGATGGAAAGTTTGTCTCTGTCTCTCCCTCTTTCTCTGTAACTCTGCCTTTCAAACAAATAAACCTTAAAAAAAAAAAAGATAAACTAGAGCTAAGTTATTTTCTTTTATTCAGTAATGCAACCACTTATGTATTCAGCAAATAGTTCTGAGTATCTATTTAGTGCAGGTTTTGTGCCAGGTGTTAGTAACCCAAAGAGCCTTTGTAATATGTAAACACTAAAAAAAAATTCTGAAATCAAGGATGAATTATCAATCACTGATAGGCAAATTAATCTGTGGCAATAAGACACACTTTTACTACTGCAACATAGAACATGGGACTTAATGTTGCGGGAAAAGAGTGGTATTTTCACAGTATGCTTTTTGTCAATTCAATTGTTTCTCACCAAACCATTAGAATGAAAATGAAGAGCTAATGTTTTAGCTTTGAGAGCTGTATTTTTAATGATAGTCTTGCAGGCAAGGTGATGACATATAAGGCTCCATTTTATAACGTTTGGTTGATGCAACAGTTTTGTGTTAGCATGCATCAAATGAAAAAAGAAAAACGGATTTAAGAGAGAAATAGATTTTGATTTGTTTTGGACCAAAGGGTTCCTCTGCTGAAAAAGAATCGCTTCAAGTTTCCTTTAAATAGTTGGCTTTCGTTGCAGTTAAAAATGATCGCAGAATTTTTACAACAACCCGCCCTGAGACACCTGTACTCGAACTTTGTCCATCAAAACAATGTGTTTTCTATCAAGCTAGGACTTGCATATCTAAGACACGCTCCGTGCAGCGCTAGCGGCGGGGGTGGGGTGGCGGGGAAGGTGCTGGGGTGGCAGCCAGGAGGGCACTTTCCCTTTCTCTTAATCAAAACTTTGCAGCCGCCAGCCCAGACTCACCTTCCCGCTCGAGCTCCCCGCACGGCCAACACTCCCGCGGCTCTCGGTCCACCGGAGCTCCGCAGCAACCCACCTCTCTTCCCGCCCTCTCCGCCTCCACCTGCGCCGCGCGCCCACCCAGGAACGCCGCCCGGCAGCCCGCGGCCCGCACGCCCCGTCGCGGCTCAGGGCTCCGGGGCATGCGCGCTGCGGCGCCATCGCCCTCCCCCACGCCTTCCCGCGGCAGAGTTATGCCAAGTATGTGAGGAGCTGGCTAGGGCCAACGCCGGTCATGGGGAGCTGCTGCCGCCGTCTCCGCGAGCACAACTTTGTCGGCAGCGGGGCTCCGACCTCTCCCCGCGGAGGCGCGGGGCTTAGCAGCTAAGGCGGAGGGGGATGGCCGACCCGCTGAGGAGGACGCTGTCCAGGCTCCGGGGAAAGCGGGGTCCCCGTGGCGCCGGGGGGCTCGGGCTCCTGGCGGCTGCTGCAGCCAGGGTGGCGGCCTCCTCGGCTGCGGAAGGGGACGCCTGGGGTGCCCGGGGCTCGCTCCCACGCGAGCCTGTAGGCGGAGCGGGGCCGCGCCTAGACCAGCTCCCGCCGTCGCCTGAGGCGCGGGTCCCCGGAGGGCGCCCGGAGCAGTCGGGGGCGCCCGGGCCTCGGCCGCACGGCGGGCAGGAGGCAGCCACCCGGGGCCGAGGGCTCGCTCGCGCCTCTCTGCACGCCCCGCCGGGCTCCGAGGGCAGCGGAGAGGAGGCGGAGGACGAGGACGACTACGATGCCGACTACTACGAGAACCTGCCCGGCGGCTCCCAGCCCGCGCCCGAGCCCGAGCCTGAAGGGTCGGAGGCGGAGCGACGGCCCCCGCCTCCCCTGGCGGCGGGCTCCTCCCCGGGGGCGGAGGGCGGCCGCCTGGAGACCGGCAGGCTGCAGACCCAGTTGCGAGAGGCCTATTATCTGCTGATCCAGGCCATGCACGACCTGCCCCCGGGCTCGGGCACGCGGCGGGGCGGCGGGGACTTGGCGGGTCGCGGCTGCCCCGCGGGAGCCCGGGCTCCGGGCCAGCCCCCTTCCCCCCGCAGCGCTGCGGACTGCGGAGCTTGCGCCGGAGACTGGGAGCTGGGAGAAGGCGGCTGCCCTCGGCAGCAGGTGTCCCCGCCCCGGCCGCCTCCGAGGGACCCGGGGGGAGACCAGCTGCGCACTCCTCGGATGCTGCTGTCCCGCTGCAGAAGCCTCGAGAGCCTGCGGGTGCGTGCGAAGCCGCCTCCCTTCCAGCGGTGGCCGAGCGACAGCTGGATCAGGTGCGGCGCACGCTGGGACCGGGACGAGCCCCCGCCACGTGGAGACAGGATGGACGGCTGGAGCGGGGGCAGCGCCGGGGCCGGGGCGCCCACCGGCCTCCTGCCGCCCGGCTCCGAGGGCCCCGGCCGCTCCCCGGGAAACCCTCTGAGGGATCCTGCGGGGTCCTCGGTGATGCGCCACGGCACGGGAGAGCGCCAGGAGGGGCCCCCTTTCCTCAAGCCGCCCGCAGTGACAGTGAAGAAACTGCAGAAGTGGATGTACAAAGGGCGCCTGCTGTCCCTGGGGATGAAGGGTCGCGCCCGTGGGACACCCTCCAAAGGCACGGGAGCGCAGGCAGCCGCCCCAAATCGGGGCGCTTTGAAAGTGCGAGAGAGCCACGTCCTCTCGGTGCCTCCAGACCAAAGAATAACGCTGACAGGTAGGATAATTTGCAGTCCGAGTACTACCGCCGCGAGGCTGTGTTTACCAACTGGGCTTCGCTCCTGGGAGCCAAGACAGGTCTCGGTGACCGTGCCAAAGTCAGTGTCATGGAAGTGGCAGCTTACAGCGCTTTCGAGGTTATTTAGGATATTGCATTCACTCGTTTTGCATATTTTTTTTCTTTCTTCTTCTTCTTCTTTTTGAAGGCAATGCATGAAGAACTGGGAGTTTTGTTTCTTTGCTAAGAGTCAGCGTGCCTGTTCTCGAAATACAGCAATGAGTAAAGGTTAACTTCAGCACACACTTTTAGCAGGTTTACAGATGGGCGGTGCTGCCTTGATTTTATTTATTTTATTTTATTTTTTTGTATTTTCTGTAGCTCTAGGCAAAACCGGAGACTTTTGTGGAGTTCGTGAATTTGAATCTGATCCAAGGTAGATTTTACAGGCTTCATAAACTGTCATTTTACTTATTACACTTTTTTTTTTCCTTCTCCCTCCCTGGCAGGAGCACACACAGACAACCTCCCTTCCCAACCCAAACCCATAAGTAGCATTTCTTTTTAATTGAGTAGATTTAACATGCTCCTTCTCTCCACCTCCCTTCATCTCCTCAAAAAAAAAAAAAAAAAAAAAAGCAACGTGATTTTTATTGTGGAAAATCAGGGATTCCAGTATTTTAATAGCAAGAAACAGTGCCTCTCGTGTTCTTTTTTAAAAAGTGCAGACACTTAGAAAGTCATTTGTGAATTTTAGAGAAACTCCTTTTAGAAGTAAATTATTTTTAAAAGTGTATATTTTTGTAATAGGAATATTGTCCCTGTTTTTGTGTGTGATTTTTAATTATCACTGAAAGGTAATCAGTTCTCTCTTGAACTTCTTGGGTTTTAAATGTTAAAAATTCTTTTCTAGAAGTAGTATAAGACCTTCGAACTGAACCAAAATAAAGTGGCTTTTTGAACTACTCTTTAAAAAGACTGAGCATAAAGGCTTACTATCAGGAGTAATTTTTAAAATTTTTAAAAATTTTTAAAATGAAAGGCAAAAAGTAATCAGTACTTTCCTATTTCACTGGTAAGGATTCAAATTCAACATTAGCTTCATTGAGCCAATAAACACAACAGTGGAGAGAAGCAAGGTTCCCAAAAGTTCTAATCCAACAATGAGGACAAATAAAAGGATTCATTTAAAGTGTATGCATAGTGGCAAAGTGTTTTGTATCTACACATCCTAATACTTATCTGTCAAATTTTATCCCCAGGGTTATAAATTCCGTTTCTCTTGGTGAAAAGGATAATAGAATGTAAACTTTTTGTAAAGGGAGGTGTAGTTTATACTAGATTCATATTAGTAATATGCATTTCCAGGAGTGAAGTATGTATGTTGATTTATTATACTTTATCACTACAATATCGATATCTCCCCTGATTTTGGTTCAGTTAACTCTTTGTATGAAATTCAGCAACTCGTACCAAAATGTATTAAAAACTTTAGTCAAATGTTTTTTACCTGTTGATTGCAGAGTGAAACATTTACCATCTGATGGCTTTTGAGGCCCTCAGCAGTAGTGTAAACATTCAGAAAGTTAAAATGTAGTAATAAATGTGGGTCCTCCAGGATGGATTCATTAATCTTTTTCATCAAGAAAACTGCTAGCTTTAAAATCAATTAAGATGATACAGAATTATTGTGATAGTTTTTTAGATATTTTACAAGAAATCAGAGTAAAAGTTAGCATAATCTCTGGTGGATGCTGTTGCTTTTAGGAAGGCTGGGAATAATTTGTGACTTTTGCAATGTTTGCACATCTAACATAGGTTTGGAGAGGTTTTTTTTCCTATTTTTCATGAAGGTTAGTGGTCTTATTAAGACCATTCTAGATACTTTAAGTGGTTCTCCTATAATATTTGTATCCCTCCAAACAGAGATATGACAACTATTGTTTAACAACAACAACAACAAACAAAGTGGTGAAGTCTTTTGCGAAGGTCGGGCTGCTGGTACCTGGATTTAAATTACCGGTATTAACGTAAATTCAAACTCGAATCTCCTTGATTCCAGTTCCCCTATTTCAATAAGGTCAATGGCACTGCAGTTTTCAGAGGTTTCATTTAATTAATTTTAATAAATTGCTTGAGTTGAGGAGATGGATGGAATTTCAACAAGATTTAGAGGAATAAGTTATTTCCTCAGAGTTGCAAAGAAGATGGGGGAATTCTAGAATTTAGGTTTTAAAACTTTAAGTATTCAGTATATTATTTTAAAGTTTTATCTTTAAATGTTTACTTACTTCAAATTGATGTTACTTGTATTCTACTTTTAAATGTTTTCTAGAGAAATTATTTGGGGCTGTACGTTCTTGATGGTATAAGATGTTAAATATCCTAAAAGGTTTATGTCACATTTTTCCATACAATATTATTCATGCAGGTATTTAAAAAAATTTTTTTAAGATTTATTTACTTATTTGAAAGTCAGAGTTACACAGAGAGACAGAGAGAGAGGCAGAGAAGAGAGGTCTTCCATCTGCTGGTTCACTCCTCAAAAGGCCACCATGGCCAGAGCTTGGCTGATCCAAAGCCTGGAATTAGGAGTTTTTCCTCTGGGTCTCCCACGAGGGTTCAGGGGCCTAAGCACTTGAACTGTACTCCACTGCTTTCCCAGGCCAAAGCAGAGAGCTGGATCAGAAGTGGAGCAGCTGGGACTCAGTGGTGCCCATATGGGATGCCGGCACTGCAGCGGCAGCTTTATCCGCTATGCCACAGTGCTGGCCCCATGCAGGTATTTTTTAAAAATACAATTGTATTTATATTTTGTGATACTCAATAACTTTATAATGGTATAAAGATAACTAATTTATGTAGGTATTTTGGAAATTTTGGAGAACATGACAAATAGAAAGCAAAATGATTTTTTATTTTGATTTCTGACTCCTTCTAAGAACTACTAAAACTTTTGATATTACTACAATGCCAATGATTTGATGCGATTAAGTATGTAGTGTTTACAGATTGCCCAATTTGTTCCTAATTGAGATGATTATTTAAGAAATCTAAAGTCATTACACAAAGTAAATATTGTCAAGTTTCCGCAAGCTTAAAGATTACAAATTTTATTTGCCAACTATACTTCATTATACATCTTTATAAGTAAGTTTTAATTAGCATATAGTTTTCAGAAGTAAATTCCAAAGCAGCAGGTTGAGCTATTTCAGCCTTTTATTTCTTTAAAAAATAATTAGAGAGGAGGATGACCCAAATATTGGGGCCCCTGCCACCCATGTGGGAGATTTTGAAGTGGTTTCAGGCTGCAGGCTTTGGCTGGGGTTGTGGCCATTTGGGGAGTGAACCAACAGCTAGAGAATCTCCCCGTGTCTGTCTCTCGCTCTCTCTGTGTGTCACTCTGCCTTTCAAATAAAAAAAAATCTTAACATATGAAAAAAATTAGCCTATTTTTGACTCAACTTTTCCTGCTACATGATCTGTGAAAGAAAAACATTGAGAGTGTTTTGGCTTCCAGTGTTTGTCTAAAATTTTTAGGTAATTATTTTATGATAGTATTTATCAGCTGGTGTGATCGTTAATTAACTTAAAGCGAAGTTGACATTTGCTGTTATGCAAATTCCCACCTACTTCTTTTCTTAAATATTTGTAACTCTGATTTCTTATCTTTATGAGCTGCGTTACATTTATGAATTTTCCCAGCATATTAGGAATTTTCCCACTAAATTCTTTCTGTGTAGACCCTCTTCAAAGTTAGTAGCAATAGGCATAAAATATTTGAGCTTTGAATCCTTCCCTTGAGAGATTATGCCATTGTACCCCCACAAGCAAATGCAATTGCTTTTTTTTTTTTTTTGATTTGTTTTGTTTTTGTTTTTGGAAGAGTGCCATGGAACATTGGAGTTGCTTGTGGCTGGAAAACTTTGAGGATTACAAATTCAGCAGAAAATTGTGTTGTGTGGATTTGAAAGTCCTACATTTCTGGATCAGTGAGTGATTCCAAGATAGGTCTGTTGTTTATTTTTTGAGAACCACCAAGGTTATTTTCTACACCTTTGCCACTCAAAATGTGTTTTAGAGCAGTGCTTATCAAACTTAATGTACATATGAATTCCCTGATAAATCTTGTTAAAATGCAGATTCAATAAGATGTAAGGTGGGACCTGGGATTCTGCATTTAACAAACTCCCAGTGTAGCTGCTGCTTTTCAGTGAATCACATCTTTGAGTAGTAAGATTACAGAGTGCTCCTGCCCCCTAAAGTTTTCTTTTTTTTAAACATTTATTTGAAAGTTAGAGTTATACAGAGAGAGAAAGAAAGAAAGAAAGAGAGAGAGGTCTTCCATCCACTGGTTCACTCTCCAATTGGCTGCAATGGCCTTCCGGAACTGCACCTATCCGAAGCCAGGAGCTAGGAGCTTCTTCTGCATCTCCCACGTATGTGCAGGGGCCCAAGGACCTGGGCCATCTTCTACTGCTTTCCCAGGCCATAGCAGAAGCTGGATCAGAAATGGAGCAGCCAGGACTCAAACTGGGGTCCATATGGGATTCAGGCACTGCAGGTGGCGGCTTTACCAGTTATGCCACAGTGCGGGGCCTGTCCCCTAAAGTTTTGAAAAAGCATTCTGCTTCCTTCTGATACTTGATATTTAAACTAATCCCTAGTAGAGCAAAGGACTTGAGCCCTTTCTGCTCAGTTTTATATGTATGAATTAATGCTTAATTGCTTATATTCGAGGAGTCTGAGCAGTTCCCTACATATTAGTGTCAGCTTGCCCAGTAAATGTTAGTGAGATCTTGGAATCTTCAACAGAGGAGGCTATACAGGATAGTGGTTAACATAATAGAGATTGTAGGTTCCTGGTCTGACTCCACCACTTACCAGGCTTGTATTCTTGGCGCCAGTTACCCTACCTTGTAGACTGTAAGGGTAAAAAAAGGTAATCCATTTGGTACTTGCCCAGCACTTAGCTGTATTATCAAGAGGAAGTCAAGCCC